AATGAATTTGGAGATGTGGAGGAAATCTTACAGCACGCATACAGAAATCTGCTTCCATCACACTGGATGGAAACTGTTGTTATTCATACTTTCTTAAATTGCCACTACTGTACAGGATATCTTGTAGAATACAAAGAAATAAGTGGCTTACAATTTAAAATTAAGCCCCACATAAAAACAGAGAAGGAACATGCAATTATACCATCTGTACTTCTTTAGGATTGGGATGAGATTTTTATTATCCAATGGTCCAGGGGTGAAATCCAACAGATTCTGACAGGTTCTGGAGAACCGGTAGCGGAAATTTTGAGCAGTTCGGAGAACTGGCAAATACCACCTCTGGCTGGCCCCAGAGTGGGGTGAGAATGGGGATTTTGCAGTATCCTTCCCCTGGAATGCGGTGGGAATGGAGATTTTGCAGTATCCTTCCCCTGCCACACCCACCAAGCCACACCACGCCCACCAAGCCACGCCCACAGAACCAAAATTGAATTTCATCACTGCAATGCTCATTATAGTTCAATACATCTATTCTAGTGGGTTGAACTTCCAAGTCTATGGGCCACAGAGAGAGAAAGAGTAGAACCTCTTTAGAAAGCATAATTTCAGTTAGGGGAGAATGGTGAAGCAAAGTTGAAGATCAAAGATATTTTGGAATTTAAGAGTGGATTTTTAGCATGACATTAATATAGGCATTCCAGAAATTAGCATTCCCCTTAACTTCTAATGGAGGCCTATGTCTTAAGAACCATTTGTAGATGCAAACAGTTTCAGTAAAGGAGAAAAAAAAAAGAAACCACTTACATACAGTATAACAACCTATACTGTAGCAAATTATAAATAATAAAATTACATTCTAATAGAATATGCTGTGTAAACCTAATCCCAGGTTAACTCAAGTGTGTTGTACTCATGAATGTTTTGGAGTTATTTCAAGAAATTATATTCAGTGAATATCTTAGAGTGTTGTCATAACAGCATTGTCACGCTCAGGGAACTTTATTTCTTGCTAAATTTTTAGAGAAATGTCTTCATCCAATAAACATTTTGCAACAGGAAATCATAATGTTTAGACATAAAAGTCAACTTTTTATGGAACAATTTGCCTTTGAATTCACTACTATGTCAGGGAAATAAGAGAAGGGTAATGAAAGCATAACTTGGGAAAAAATAGCTTAACATTTGCTATTTTATACTTAGTGAATATTTAACTCCACGTTTGTGCAATCAAAATTAGGCTTAACTCCGCTGGCCGTGGAAGAGATCAGAAATATTCCTGAAAGGAACCAAGTCTTCAAAAGTAATCTTCAGCAGCTTTGCCTACCCACTGACAAAAAAGAATCTCTTTAAATACTGGCATTCCCACATTTAGGCACAATATTAGTATCTTCATGGCAGAAACGGCTTTTTTATTCTCCTCCTCTACATCGATGAAGGAATTTCCCCGAGATGTCTTTGGAAAATCCCCATAAAACTGGAAGAAGCACAGCCGAAGTTAATCTGATTTTTCTGAACGGCATTGCTTCCTTACCATAGGTAGCACGAAACCTTGATTGTAATCGGTGTGCTCTCCGATCAAATTTACCCTTCCGGGCGCCGACACTGCAATTTTAGGATCTTCCCCGCCATAAACCCTTTTGTACACTTCCCGAGCGGCTGCTAGTAACGACCCCACTGGGTTGGAGTCTCTCCCTTTTTCCATGATCCCGATCCACTTTTGCAAACTGCAGGTTCCAACGCTGAAACCACCGATCCCGGAAAGAAACGAGCCGAGTTCTGCGCAGACGCACGACTGCTCTCAGTCCAGCAGTTCTGATCAAGGCCCGCCCACTCGGCGTGCATTTCTCGGGCGTCCAGCCCCTTTGCTCCGCCAGCACATCTTCTAGGTGTCCTGTAGGGGTCGCTGGTGCAACTTCAAATCTTGCCTTCACTTTCCTGGGTTTCTTTCGTAAGGGCCAGTAAAGACTGCGCTTTTTTAAAAAAATTACAAAAAATATAAAAAAAATTATTTTTTTTAAAAAAATTACATTAATGATAATTTTACAGCATTTCGTAAAAATACTTACGTATTTTGCTTTTGTAGTAGTCTATTCTACAAAATAAAGATTTCTCAAAGCCACCGTAAAAAAAAAAAAGACTGCGCTTTTTATCCCTGCTGCAAAGTAGTGTGCTCCGTACTGAGGGGGGGAAAGTGCAAATCTACACACACAAAAGCCTTTGCTGTAGTTTGCGTGAGTAATGATTGGTTAGTTCTAAGTTAATGTTATTTGAAAGGTGGAGCATAAATAAACAAAAGTGCAAAGAAAACAAAAACCTCTTCCACCTATTACTGATTAACAATATCTTGGAAAAGTTCAAGTTAACTACCGTAATAACCTGAGCAGAAAATGCTTTCAGAATTTGCAAAATCATTTGATGTATGCACCGTTAAGTCAGACTCAGTACTGTTTCTTACCAACCACATAAATGATCTTCTCCAGGATGATCTGTTCTCAAAATGGCACAGACCACCATTGTAATTGAGTCCATTCACCTTGTTGCTCTTTGCCCTCTTTCATTCCAGCTTTCCATCACAAGAGACTTTTCAAGGGAACTGGGTCTTCCTGTAATGGGTCCAAAATGAGATAATTTAGGCCTACGTGGTCATTTGTGTTTTGAATATGAATTCTGGACTGACTTGTTTTATGATCCATTTGTTTTCTTGTCTATCCGTGGTATTCCAAATGTTTTCTCCAAAGTTCAACATTTTATATTCTAGTGGTACAAGCTCATGTTATTACTTTCTAAAATATCTTGGATGTTGACACTCCTAATATATATAATTTTAGTATATTTCTTCCATCTTTGTTTGATCTTTGAATCAGTTATTATCTATTGGTATTCTTTCACATACCAATTTGAGGTTGAAACCTTCTGAATTTGGAGATTTTTTGGGAAGATTTTCCTTGTTTTTCCAGGACTGTTCCCATCTTCCTTATCTTTTCAGATGTTGATACTGTGTTCTAAAAGATTTATAAAATTATACAATTGAATATAGGGAAGTTAATAACAGCAAAAAAGAAAATAAAGAACTCCAGAGAATTAAAATCATCACACACGAGCAAGGTGCCATAACACTCCTATGCTAAATATACATGTGCAGGGCTCAACTCTAAAATACAATAAAAAAGAGAACATTTGTGAATGAGGAAACAATCTGATTACACACAGGAGTAAGGTTGGATGCCTACTTAACCTCTGTAGAATCATTATCACTATGAAGAAAAACCTGCCAAACTTGGCAGGCAACTTATGCTGTGTACGTGGCAGTCAGCACTCATAGGGGTTAAAACTGCTATTGGTGGCCTCCTTCCTGTAGTTCTCAAGCCTTATTTCTTTCTAGAATTTGTGACTGATTGAAAACAGTTGGCCTCAAAAGAGCTGCAAATACAAGGTATTTAAAACCAATACATTAGCCACACATGCATCATGAAGATGTATGATGATAGACCGTCCATTGTAAAATATTCAAGTGAAGTTTGATTTCTGCTGACCTTGTGGACACACCCATGTAGGGCTTTTTATAATTTATTATAAACAATAACAGATTTACCCTTGCCATCTTCAAAGATGTTTCCTCCACTTCTTATTCTACTTTACATCCAGGGCCAGCTTTAGGTTAAGGTCAAGTAAGCACTGGCTTAGCTGCCAAAGTTTTGGGGGCGCCAATGTTACTTTTCCTTCCGAATCATTCTTAAAAAAAGGTAAATCTTGCATTTTGGCAGAAGATGGTGTTGTTCAATCAATGTGGCTTAGGAGCAACCCCAGACCCTTGAGCTGACCCTGCCGGCTTACAGCCTTGAATTTCCTGAATGGTTTCCCATTCAAGGATTAACCTGGTCCACATTGGACCTCACTTAGCTTTTGAAATGAGCCAAGGTCGGTTAGTACTTAGGACCGTTTTTTCACACTTACGACTGTTGCCACATCCCCATGGTCACGTGATCAAAATTCAGATGCTTGGCAACTGGCTTGTATTTATGACAGTCGCAGCGTCACGTTGATCCCCTTGTGCGACCTTCTGACAAGCAAAATCAATGGGGAAGCCAGATTCACTTAACAACCGGGTTCCTAATTTAACTGCAGCAATTAACAACTGTAAGGTCGTAAAATGGGGCAAAATTCACTTAACAAATGACTCGCTTAGCAACATAAATGTTGGGCTCGATTGTGGTCATAAGTCAAGTACTACCTGTATAGGGTCTCCTGCTTATGCAGGGGGTTGGACTAGAAGACCTCCAAAGTCCCTTCCAACTCTGATTACTCTGTTATTCTGTTGCCACTTGGCTGGGCTCTCAAACGTTAGTTGCATATTAAGGAAACTTTCCCTGTCCTAATATTTCTTTTTACTTTTTACTTACTCTTTTCATGTATTCAAATTATGTTTATACTTTTACATGTATATATATATCATAACATAACATAAGCCTGATGATGGCAGATGAGATTCTGTCGAAATGTCGCTTCTACCCTTTTAGGGATATGTTCACAATTACATGGGAAGAAACCCGAAATATTAACTGTACACACATATATACCCGTGAAAACTTACATAAACATATATATATGTGTGTTTGTGTGTGTGTGTGTGTGTGTGTCTGTCTGTCTGTATGTATATGTATATGTATATGTATATCTTGTATATATCTTATATATATGCTTGACAAATAAACTTATGATTATGATTAACAACCGAATCCTGGAGACCGGCGGAGGGTGAAGAAAACATCAACGTCGGACCCACGCAAGAGGGGTGACAGAACCGTCAGTAATTCCAGAACTTTAACGACATCAATCATATCCGGGAACGGGGATACACATTGAACTTTTGGGGCTTATTTTCACCTCTCTCCAAACCCCGGCAAATTCGATTGGGCATTCTTCGGGCCTGAAGATCGCTTTACCTCTCTCTCCCCCCCCCATCCCCCGTCTCGCCGGAAGAATGGTACCTTCCAGAGTTTTGCCTGCCGCCGGGTGTTAGGACGAAGAAAGTCGCTCGCGGACAGTTTCCATCGGACGGAGGCGCCAGCGGAGGCTGAGTCTGGGACTCTGGGCTGAGCCCAAGTCTGGGCAAAGCAGAGCCGAGCAAAGCAGACTAGGATGAGTGGGAAAGAGCCGCTCCTGGGCGCTCTGAAAGGTGAGAGAGAGAGAGACAGAGAGAGATTCGCGACGGGTAATGCGAGTGGGATGCTTGAAAATGAAGTGTTGGAGAATAGCCGTCCTTCGTAGCATTTGGGGCTTAAATGGAGCGTGGCTCTGATGGGTCACCCAGCTGTCACAGTGAAGAAATGCGCTGTAGGAGATGCCAGGTGATGCAAGGAGTTGGATCTGTGCTAGAAGATTGGTACCTCCCAACCGGACACGTGTTCTCCGCTCCCCACGTTCAAGTGATTGCAGAACTCTCATTTCATTTGTGGCAGTATTTTAAGATAAGGTTCCAGTTTAGAAGGGGATGGAATCAGGAAAACCGATCACCAGAAGTCCAAGCAGCGTGCAGGAGAAATGCTGGGATAGGGACATTTTATACTCAGTTCCAGGGCTCTCACCACCCCCCACCACCCAGTAATGAAAACTTGACAAGATCTTGTTAGACTGACAGGTGTCCCTCACACATGGGGATACATAGAAAAGACAATTTCATGTTTGCTACTACTTTGTTTCCTACTGTATGGACATGCAGGCAAGATACATACCCACCTATTGAGTTTTGTCACCTCCAGCGTCCTGCTAGCTAAAAATATATTTTTTTAGTTCTCATATTGGGTTACTTCATTTAATGTCCTGTCCACAGCTGTAGCCATTTTTGATGCCCGAGGAAAAAGATGCACGTGGAATAACTACCTCTACTTTTTAAAGTTCTATTTCCTGCTGGTTGTTGATGACCATCAGTAAGAAACTAGGGGATTGTATTTTTGTCAAGCCACAAACGCAGATTTTTTTCCAGCCAAAATATCTTTTTTTCCTATCTAGATAATTACTGGACTAGCCCACAGAGAAAAAAATGTGCAAATACTGAAGTTGTCACTGCTCCTTTTCTGTAGAGGAAAAAACCGCAGTACAAAGATTTATGCAAATGTAAACCCTCTTATATTCTATAGGATTTCTTCCAAACTAAAACAAATAGGATTGTAGCCTGTGATACATAGTAGAAGTACTATGTTTGACCATTTTATTTCTCAAATCACACTAGTATAAACTGGTTTGCATGATGTAACGTTGACTTTTTAAAGGTCTGAAATCATGGGAAGCTAACAATTTAATTTTCTATCAATATCTTGGTAAAAAATATATGCAAAACTACCATGAAAATTACTATATCTTAATTATTGTAGTGGCTGTCACTTGTATGAACAGCATGTATAATTACATCTAGTTTTTGTCTCAAGGCATAAAAACTTCATAGATTACAGATCTCCCCATATAACTATCTTTTGCAGTGACATACACGGGATTTTAAAAATGATGACTTTGATTATTTCTTCCTCATTTAATGATTTGTCCTATGTGTTTCCTTATCCGTCTTCTTTAAAGTAATCTTGCATGCCCCTACCTAAATGACATGGAACAGAGTGGGATTTACTTCAGTAGACATGTACAGGATTTGATTGCAATTTTTATTCTTTTGCCTGCATTCACATAACACACTAACCCACGTTTTTGAACCCTGGTTTACAGTACAGAATTAAGGTATGGTTCGACAACGCAAACCATGAACTTGTTATTTGGGAGATCTCTTGGACTAACAGCTCCTGTTTGAAAGGCAGGTTTTATTTATAGCTAGTAGCACTTTAACTCAGCTTCATGTTGTGCACCAGTAATGCCCTTTCCAGGATAGAGAAGCTTGCCTCTTGGCCTCTCCTGCTCTGGTCATCTTTCATTCAGTCACTTATGCTCTGGACTATTGCAATGTGCTGTACATGTATCCTTGAAAAGTATCCAGAAGCTTCAGCTGATACAAAACGTGGCTGCGTGAGCAATCTTGGGCACCAAAGATCAGTGCATGTGACACCTTTGCTGCGTGAAGCTGCATTGGGGTGACAGTTTGCTTCCAGATCCAATTCAAGGTACTGATTAGACATTTAAAACTCTACCTGGCATGGGACCAGATTACCTATGGAACCATCTTAGCTCCATCACATCAGTCCATCCCACTTGGTCAGGCAGGGAATTTATGGTGCGGACCTTGTCAGTTAAAGAATTCCAACTGGCAGGATCCAGGAAGAATGCCTTCTCTGCTGTTGCCCACTGCTCTTTGTAACTCCCACCCACTCCCCAGAGGCAAGGCAAGCCCCTACTCTCCTGGCCTTTCAAAAGTATCTAATGACTTAGCTCTGCCATCTCACTTAAGGCTCACATAGGAGACACAGCCTATGTCTCCTATGAGGAAGACATAGGCTGTGTCTCCTATGTGAGGCCTTCAGGTTAGTGCCCTGAAGGCCTTCCCCACCCCCGCTTTTATTTACCTTTTAATGTTAAATTTTGCTATCCTTGCCACTATTTTAAATTTTTATATTCAGTTTTTATGTTTCATACCACACAGAGTTCATCTGTGAGGGAGATGGGTGATTTCTAAATTTTATAAACTTAACCACATAGGCTGGGTTCATACAATCACTACAATCTAGCCCAGACAGTTCTAAGTAAGTAGTAATGTATACCACTGGTGGGGCTTAGAAGTAATATAGCTGGGTCTTGGAGGGACTTTACACCATTAAAATGTACAGGAAAGGATAACTGTAACAACAGTGCCTATAAGCATATAAATGATGGTGATAGTGGATAAAGTGAACTTTTAATTTCAGTTGTGATGGAACCTAGTTATAATAGTTGTGAGAAATGTGCTTTTGGAGGAATCTACCATTGGAATTAAAATTGGTGGTAGGAATATCAATATCCTCCGATATGCAGATGATACAACATTGCTCATGGAAAGCAAGAAGAATCTGGAGTGGCTTTGACTCAAAGATGAAAGTGAAAAATTTGGACTGCACCTTACGATCAAGAAAACAAAGATAATGACAACTGCAGAGAACATACAGATCAGAATGCAGTTCGACAATGAGACCATCGAAATAGTAAAGGAATTCATCTTCCTTTACTAAACTCAACCAACATGGTGAGTGCAGCCACGAGATCAGAAGGATATATAATACAAAAGAACTGCAATGTCCACCATGAATAACATCTGGAAGAGTAAAGACAACAGCTTCCCAACCAAATGCAGATCAGTTAACACAATAATTTTTCCAATTCCTACTTATGGATGCGAAACTTGTACTCTGAAAAAGGCAGATAGAAGAAGGGTGGGCACTTTAGAACTGTGATGCTGGAGACAACGATTACACCTCCTATGAACTGCAAAAATAACAAGCAAATCCTAGACCGAACCTCACGAAAAATACAAAGCCAAGATCACAAAACAAAGGCTGTCATACTTTGGCCATGTTGTGTGAGCTGACTCACTCAAAAAATCATGTTGGAAGTGAACAGAGGAAAAAGGAGAAGAGGGAAATCTAGTACCCATTGCCTGGACCCTATAAAGCATGGCACCATGGTGGATCTGAAGGAGGCAGTGTGAGACAGAGGGGCATGGAGAGTGCTGATCTATAGAGTTGCTGAGGGTGGGACATGACTGAATGGCTGACAACAATGATAATGGAACCCAAATTAATTGATAGCATGAATGATAGGAGTTGATATAAAAGATTAAGAATTACTCATATAGTGAATCCATGTTAGCCCAACATTTTATATAAAGCCAGCTATTGTAGGCTGTTCCTGCAAATTCATTTCATATAAGAAACTGAATTCTAAGCAGTTGGGATTATATTAATGAGCTTCCATTTTATAAGTGCACTTTCTTGTGCAGTCTTAAACTATTTACCCCTGGGTATTCCTTGCAGGGTTCTTCTGAACTTTTGAAGATACCTGGATTGTAGAAATCAGAATGATCATTAGATAGCAGCAAAGAGTTAGTCTTCTGTATTTCTCTGCTACCATCTAGTAATGGCCCAGATTTTGACAGCCCAGATACGATAACTCTGTGTAACCACAGGTACCACAATGTACCACGTTAAACATTTTGGAAAAAGGTGAGATCATTATTATATGGTAAATATTCAAATAAGTACACACAGTCATTATCTTGATAGAACAGAAAAAGACACAGGGTCTGTTATACAGTATTGTTATTCCATTTAGTAAACAAAAATGTGGCAGGAAATCTCTTTTCCAAGATGGTCAGTGGGCTTGATGGGTGGAGCATGCATTGAAAGAACAGTCAATATTTGCCCAACCAAGCCCATGGCTGAAGACTTTTTGCATACATTCTTATTTATATTAAATATTTCTTTCTTCCTTGTGTAGGCCCGAAGTAGTAAAAGCATTTTACAAACGAAATGAATATCATAAATTAGCCTTTGTGTGCAAATCAATTAAAAGGGAAGACAGCCACTTTTAGAACATTTCCAGTGAATGTGCTAGTTACTAATAAAATGAAAGCAGAAAGAGAGAGGGAAGTGAAATCCTGGAAGTGAAAATTGAGCCTTACTGAGTATAATGAGAATTGCATCTAAGTAGGTGTGTCCAGCACAATTTAAATAAATCACTTGATTTAATCTGTTTAATCTGCTTTAATCTATTGATTTCCAATGTGTTCCAATTTAATGTTTTGCAACTGGAAACTCCAAATTCTTTCTTCCAAATAAACATAATTGCGTGAAGTCTGTAGAGATTCTCAGTCATCCAGGTCATGGCTGTCCCAAAGGTGCTTTTTCAGGTGGCAACTGTCCATTCCATTCTCCACTATCCTGTCAGAGCTGAAGAAGCTTCTTGAATGAGAAGTGAAACATCTTCAAAAGAAAAAACAAAGTCCAGTTGCCTCCTGAAAAAGCACCTTTGGGATATGATTGCTTGATTTGCTATATGTTGTAATTTATTTCAAACTTACTTGGCCTAGTTTGCTGTGCCTAAATTGCTGATGGAGACAACATGACATTTCTGCACCATATCATCTATAAAATAGCCTACACTTTCAGTCAGTTTTAAGAGATCTCTTTTTATCCCCAGCGTTAAGACTTCAGTGAAGCCATTACACTGAAGAGAAAGAATGGGTTTTTAAATAATTAAAATAATGTATTAACATTTTTTACTCTATAAAATGAGAAAAAAGGTTTGTCCCCAAAATCAGTGTGTACAGTATTGTATTTCAAAAAAAGGATTTTGCCTAGAGTTCTTCTGTTATTGCAGCCTGCATTTGAAATTGCATTTGAAATTGCTTATGCGAGTCAGACTGTATTTGGTATTGTTTATGTTAGACTCCACACTGAGGCAAATATTTTTAGATCCATTCTTTCCTTTTCCATTTGAAATTCAATTTTATACATTCTGTTTTCTTGCAGTGTGCATTCTCAATTTTCAGGAAAGCAATAGTCCTTATACAGATACCTGTCCTCATTTACAGTCCTTTTGTGAAATCCTGGAAATGATTCTTCGGAAAGGATTAAAACGTGAGTAACTTTTTTTGCTCCATGGCTTAATATTGAGAAATATACTTGAACAGTTGTGAAGTCCTGACTTACAGAAAGTCATGCCAATTAGTCATAAAATGGAAAAGGAAAACATGGATCTAAAAATATTTGCCTCAGTATGAAGTCTGGCTAGCATGAGCAATACCAAATTATTGTACATTGGGCCTTAGCAACCACTGGCTATGCGCATGGTTTATTACATTCTACTAATGGGTTAGAAAGGGTATAAGGTAATGAATTAGGAATGAATTAGAAAGGATATAAAAAATCGTCCTTTGGACCAAGGGTCTCCAAACTTGGTAACCTTAAGACTTGTGGCCTTCAAATCCCAGAATTCTTCAGACAGCCGAAATTCAAATGAGGAATGTTTGTATGTATGCTACACATTTCATCTATATATTATAGATTCAACATTCTTCAGCATTCAGACCATAACAGTTCTGTAAAATATAGATAGTTTGCCAAGCATATGGCACCATTAGGAAACCATGCATCATGGTAACTTGCATGTAACATTTATAAATTTCATGTCTTGAAGGTTTCAACGATATATAAATATGGGTGGTCAAATGGTAGTTTGTGCAAAAGAACCCCAAAATTGTTTTTAAATAATAGACCACTTCTTTGCAATTGGGGAAGACACAAAACATTGATGTGTGCACAAAATAGACCATGTTGTTCCCTGCAACAGTACTCTGGACCTAAGGTAGCATCTAATTTTAGGTCTGCAAAAATGACTCTTATCAGATGATAAAAAGTCATACTGCTGCCATCTCCCAGTCTTACCATTCTTTGTAAAGGATGTCTTTGTCCTCTTCAGAGCCAGTTCTGGGATTCAAGAGGAAGGACTATTGGCACTGGCTAGAGCAGCTTCCACAGCAGGAAACCCATCACAGGTAGGTGGTCTCTTGTAGCCTTTTATGATGCTGTAAACAGAAACTCACAATATTGGGTTTTGTTCTTTCACTGTTGCAATTTTAAGTTCCCAGGCTTGATTTCCTTCTATCGCTCACACCCAATGCAATTTCATGTCTGCTGGAGGAGTTGTAGTCCCATATTGGAAGAGTACCAGTAGGGAATAGAAAGTCAGAGATGCTCTAACTCAGGGATGGGCAACTGTGGCCCTTTTACAATCTGTGGACTTCAACTCCCAGAATTCCTGAGACAGCCAAGCTGGCTCAGGAATTCTGGGAGTTGAAGTCCACAGGTCATAAAGGGGCCATATTTGCCCCCCCTGCTCTAACTTAATACCTCTCACACTTATTACAGGTTTCACTGACACTGTACCCGTGATTGCTTTGGAATTGGGCATGGAGAAATTGTGGTTTTTGTTATTTTATAAGTTTCAACATAATTTTAATGAACAGGGTGAAATATTTTCTTTTGATAACAAATTCACAGCTGCTAAAATCTCTGATTTGTATCAGAGAAAGAATTTGTGGAAGGCACATACAAGTAATCCTCTTTCAGTGATAATTTGAATAAGGGGACTTACAACTATTCCTCATAGTGCAGAATCCCTACAGTCACATGATCTCAAATTGGGTGCTTGGTAACTGCTTGCAGTTATGACAGTTGCAGCATCCCACAGTCACATGATCACCATTTGCAATCTTCACTGCTGGCTTCTGACAAGCAAAGTCAATGGGGAAATATCTACCACATTGTGTCCGAATGTTCATCAAGAGCTTACACAGGCCCAATGTCTGATTTTTTCAACATAGACTATCCTGTCCTTGAATGGCTGGGTGGACTGGACATTAACATTTGAACTACTATAAGTCCATGTATTTACCATACTTTAAATAAAATAAATAAATGGGGAAGCTGGCAGGAGGTCACAAACGACAATCATGTGCAGGATTTGCCTAATGATGGCAGTTGGAATTGCTGCAACTGCCATTGTAAGCAGACATGGTCATGTGATGCCATGTTTTACAGCTGCATCACACAGCAATGAAGTTGCGGATCCCAATTGCCATCGTTGAGTGAGGACTGCCTGTATGATTTTGTACTCATTTTAACAATATTGAAACAACATTTAAAAATACACAATAGCAGAGACTGTGTTAACAATAATTTTTCCACTTGTAGTAGGACCCTTCTGTCCATGATGATTGAGAAAACGAGTTCCTGTGAGAAGGTGTTGACAGCTCAAGGAAGAGGGCGGTACTTCCTGCGTCTGGCTTTGAATGGGAAGTTATTAGCAGTTGCTGTTCAGCAGCTCATCAAAACTCCCAGGCTGCTTGAGGTGATTAAATAATCCAGAAGAATTAAGAAGATAATTTGAATAACTACCATACTTTGATTTGTGTCTTTGTCTCTTTGCTTGAGGCCTGAGCTTGAACACTAACTACAGGTAGTTTTCAATTTATGACCACAATTGGAACTAGAATTTCTGGTCGATGCAGTTGTAAAGCAAACCATCACATGATTGGATCCAATCTTGGAATGTATTATTCCAATGTTGAAATGCTTATCTCCTATAATTAATATGATCTTGGGGGAAGAAGGGTGTATGGTCAAGGTTTTGAAAAGTGTACCTATGTGGTTGGATATTAGATCTGTATCACTGTAATATTGATTGCCTTGGACTTCAACAATCCAAAGTCGGGTTGAACTGGAAGACCTCCAAAGTCTCTTCTAGCCTTATGATTCCAACTGAGATAAGTCTATCATTTTAGTGTTGCATCTGAATACTGAATTTGACATGCTTTTCTTAATAACAACTACAGTATTTTGCCTATTTTTTTCTTTGTCTACAAAGATCTTGTGCTTCCTGGATACAAAATGACCCATTCCAGGTCATTTCAGTTTGTTGATTTCCAAAATGTCAGTGTTTCATTTTGACATTTCAGCTCTGCTAACATCCAATTTGTTTTGCTTTATATTCTGCCATTCCATCTACAAATGGTGTAGATATCTTTGCACCACTGATTTTCGCTTTTCCTCCCAGGCACAGCGGCAGTTGGACATCATTTGAACATTAATCTAATTATATCAAAGGACCAGTGCTCCTTGTATTTGTCCTCTGCTTTTCTCTGGTAGCCCACTGGATACCTTCTTAATGGGAAGCTCATGTTGCAATATCGTGTTGACATTGTTCTGACTGGAAATGTCAGTCATTGGGGGGTTTTTTAGCAGAAAAATGGAGTGGGTTACTATTTTTAAGTCCTGTGAAGTTTTGACAATTCTCCAATACTAGTCTACATTTAACATACTAGGTTTCAAATTTATGCTTCTTGCTTGATTTTCACTTATTATCTCTTATTAAAATACACATGTTTCATATTTAAACATCTGTATCATAAATTATTTTATTTAAACTATTCTTAGTGTACTGCATGTTTGTTTTTATAATCTGATTTCAGTGCTATGATCCAATAACATCTATCCTGAGCAATGAAGAATTTTCAGGTAAGATTCTATTCTATCGTTATGCTACCCTCTCAAGATGCCTCCTTGCATACATCATTGTACTGTATGACATTTTTAGGCAGTAACTGAGATAGTGAATTTTAGCCCATAAAACAGTGGACCATCCTTTAAAACAGGGGTCTCCAACATTTTTCAAGAGTAAAGGGCCTAAAAGCGAAAGTCCTAACTTTTTTTTTTTTTTTTTTTCTTTAAGCATGATGCACCTTATTTCAGATTTACACTGTAGTTTTCATCTCCCTCCACCTACTTCAACTTGGCAAAAGTTATCCATTAATTTCCAACAAGCTTAGCAAAGAATGGGTTGTGAAAGCTACCAAAAAAAAAAAAAAAGGAATTGAAGCCCTGAGGCTGCAGGTTTTCTATTCCTGACCTAAAAAGTTTGCAATCATAATTTTTATTTTTTAAAAAATATGATATGATTCCTTTGGTGTGGAGTTTTTATTATGCAATTGCCCTGCTTCATTTAAAGACTCTTCTAGGAGTGGGGAAGAAAGTTCCAATAATGCGTACTTCTTCCCAGTTTCCCACTGTTTCTTTCATAATACTTCTGTTTGGTAAAAAATGCTATTAAGAACAGTTGTGTGGTGCTTTTTAATGGGCAATAGGAATCACCTGTCACTAAGATATGTGTCCTCAGCTGTTTTCAATGCAGGTAGGACATCGCAACCAATTGTAATGTGACCTGGTTACCAAGTACCTGAATTGCAATCACATGACTGAGGGAGCAGAGCATAGTTAGTTCTCAATTTACAACCACAATTGAGCCCAAAATTTCTGTTGTTAAGTGAAACATTTGTTAAGTGAATTACAACCTTTCTTGCCACAGTTGTTAAGTGAATCACTACGGTTATTAAGTTAGTAACATGTCTGTTAAGTGAACCTGGCTTCCCCATTGACTTTGCTTGTCAGAAGGTTGCAAAAAGTGATTTACATGACCCCACGACACTGCAACCGTCATAAATATGAGTCAGTTGCCAAGTGTCTGAATTTTGATCAGGTGACCCTGGGGATGCTGCAACGGTCGTAAGTGTGAAAAATGGTCATAAATCACTTTTTTCAGTGACGTAACTTTGAACTGTTGTAAGTCGAGGACTACCTGTAGTTGTAAGGGTGGAGATGGGTTGTAAATCACTTTTTCCAAGGCTGTCATAAGTTTGAATTGTTGTTAAATGAATGGTCATAAGTTGAGGAATACTTGTGCAATACCATTGCTCTTTGGAAATTAATTTCACCTAACTCACGAGTCTGCACACACATTTATGCCCAGAAGGTTGGCAGCTTTTATTGTAATAGTTTTTTTAAAATATAAGCACAGGTAGTTGTCGACTACCAGCAGTTCATTTAGTGACCCTTCAAAGTTACAACGGCACTGAAAAAAATTGACTTAGGACCATTTTTCACACTTACGACCGTTGCAGCATTTCCATGGTCACATGATCAAAATTCAGATGCTTGGCAACTGACTCATATTTATGACAGTTGCAGTGTCCCTGGGATCATGTGAACTGCTTTTTGCAACTGTCTGTTGAGCAAATGGGGAAGCCAGATTCACTTAACAACCAAGTTACTAACTTAAGAACTGCAAGAATTCACTTAACAACTGTCGCTAGAAAGGGTGTAACAAATGTCTCACTTAACAACCAAAATTTTGGGCTCAGTTGTGGTCGTAAGTCAAGGACTACCTCTAACTTAAATTTTGCCAGGTCTCCGGAAAAAGTTCAATCCCTAAAAATATTAGTGGCCATTTGTTATTATGTTAGATTTTAAAGGAGACCAAATATTCGGTTTTAATTACTCTCAGTTTTGTATCTCTTGAATAGCCTTATTCATTCTTTTTCCTTTTCTCGGTTTCCCCTTTCCTATTTTCTTTTTTTTTTTATATTGTGTAGCCCCTTTCTTTCTAGTATTGCTTTCTTTTAGCTCTTATTTGATTCTTTCTTGTTCCTTTAGGTATCCTAAACTCTCTTAGAATCTTATGCTGATCTCTCTAATTTAGAATCTTCTCTTTTCTCAGACAAGGGGGAAAAAAGTGCTAATACAGCTTTTCCACAACCCAGTGCTCTCCAGATGCCCAGGACACCAACAGTGTAGTGTACAATTTAATTTCATGGCATCATTCCCTAATAACTTTGGGATATCCTATTCCCTACCATCTAAATTAAGGAAACACATTTTGCTGCCAATAACAGTTTACAGCTATCTCTTGCTGTGAAGAAACTTTGCCCATACAGAGGTAGAAAGGTGCAAATCCATCTTGTCTTCATCAAACTTTTGTATGGGGATTCAGATAATTTGGGGGTTGCACATCAGCTATTTTGAAGGCATTTTATGAAGTACTTGTCTATACGTTCCAGCCATCTTGTGAGACACCCAGAGTTGCTATTTCACTAAAAGATCTGTGGAGGAAGAGTAAAATAAGAATTTAATTAAGTGATTGGACGCTTTAAGCTCGGCATAAAAACCCTAGAGATGCTGGTATATTTTATTTATTTATTTATTTATAAAATTTATAGGCCTCCCATCTTACCCCAAGGTAATGGTTGGGAGAATGAAGTCCAGTACATCTGGAGAATACTGAGAAATGAACATGAGAAAATAAGTTTAGTATAAATTTATTAATTTTGAAAAATTATATGATATAGTGAATAACCTTGAATTATAAAATGTCCTGCACAGATATGAAGTTGATGGTTGGTGAATGTGATAAAATAGCTGTACATCATGGTAATAAAACATAAATGTAATGCTTAGGGTTAGCAAATGGCTCAACCCTAAACAATGAATAAAGCAAAGATGTGTGATGTTACATTGAGTTTTTTAAATGTGTTTATGTAATATTTTTTAAAAGTGCTTGTGGCAATATTACAGGTTTGTTGAGAACCCGAATGTTCTTATACTTTTGTATGAAAACAATGCCATGTTGGGCTCCCAAATGATTTGAAATGAATGTTAGGTAAAATTGAATGGATCTGAAATATTTTTATTCATCTATTTATTCACTTATTTAGTTAGTTTGTCAAACGTACGAGAAAACAGGTATAACATGGACATGAACACAGGAAATGAGTACGAATAAATGGGGACAGTAGGACAGGAACGGTAGGCACGCTGGTGCACTTATGCACACCCCCTTACAGACCTCTTAGGAATGGGGTGAGGTCGACGATAGACAGTTTAAGGTTAAAGTTTTGGAGGTTTGAGGATATAACAACAGAGTCAGGTAGAGCATTCCAGGCATTGACCACTCTGTTGCTGAAGTCGTGTTTTCTGCAATCGAGTTTGAAGTGGTTTACCTTGAGTTTGTATCTATTATTTGCCCGTGTATTATTGCGGTTGAAGCTGAAGTAGTCATTGACAGGTAGGACGTTGTAGCAGACAATTTTGTGTACTACGCTTAGGTCAGACCATAGTCGGCATAGTTCTAGGTTGTCCAGGTTGTCCAAGTCCAAAATTTCAAGCCTGGTGGCAATATTTATATTTATATATCATAAATATCATAAATATATATGAAATATATAAAAGGCCAAAGAGTTGCATTTAACAGGGAAGATTGAGTGAAGAATAAATGAGAAAAAAACAAGAAAAAGCAGAGGAAGAATTTGTATACCTGACAAAATGTATAATAAAGATTGATAAAGCGAATGGACAAAATTGATAAATGCTGGTTGAAAAGTGGAGGGCTGTATGAGTTCTACTGTGAGAAACGAATGATGAAAAAAACAAAAATGTTTATTGGAGCATATTTCTGCCTGATTTTTGTATGCAAGTGAAAGTTGGGTATGTTAGGACAAACAGAAATAAAGAGAGGTAACTTAAAAACTGTGTGGTAAAACAAGGGGTTTGTCAAGAATGAATAAGGGCTAAAATAGTGTGACAGAGAATACAAACATAAAGTGATCAGTAGTAATAAAAAGTATGTTGAGGTGACTTGGTAATACAGCTGCTCAGAGTTGCTCCTGATAGCAAGATACGGTAATAGGAGTCATGATAGCACAGTGGTTAGAATGCAGCATTACAGGCTAACTCACTGTTCACTGCCAGGAGTTCAATTCTGACCGGCTCAAGGTTGACTCAGCCTTCCATCCTTCTGAGGTCGATAAAATGAGAACCCAGATTGTTGGGAGCAATATGGTGACTCTGTAAACCGCTTAGAGAGGGTTGTAAAACACTATGAAATGGTACATAAGTGCTATTGCTATAAATTTCATAAATAAAATGTAGGCAGAATGAATGAATTGGACTATTTAAAATATTTGAAGGATTGAAAGGAAAGGAAGAGCAGAAATCGTGATTGGGAGGTACTGAGAAGTCCCTCGGAAAGAAAGGGGCCAGAATTATGAACATCAGTGTTAATGTATTAAATGGTGTATGATTGTGGTAGAAATAAGATTAGAAATAGAGAGAGAGAGAGGAATAGTGAATGATGCTGATGAAAATTAGATATAACTTTATTTCCTTTTCTTATCTCATGCCTTGATTTCCTTGGCTTAACTATACCCCTTTCAGCAGTTTGTGTGAAGGCACTTATCCTGAAAGTGTACAGCATTATGGGTATGATCATATGTTTCCTCCTCCTCACTTTAGGTTTTAATGTGCTTGCCTTCTGATCTGAGATTAAAGTACTGTAAATTTTGCTAGTTTATAATCCTGCCTATGTTTGACATTTTCTTGAATATTATCTTGGGAAGTCTGAATCTCACTGCAACAAAATGTCCATTTGTTGTGCCCCCCTAAACATTTCTATGACATTTCTAATAAATTACTACTGTACTTGTCAGTTATTGGATAATGATCTATTTTTATTTTATTTTTTTTTGCTTTCCAGAGCCTTTCTTTTCCATGATGTTGGTGGTTACAGAAATGAATTTCTTCTTAGATTTGCAGGTACAGTAATTGATAGCTTTGGATCATGTTTCTTTTTAATCTTTCTTATGATGGATTTATTGATATTCTTCCTCTTTTTCAGCCTTTCTGTTTAATCACTAATTATGGGTGTTATAGATTGTTGAATTTCTGTTTGCAGAATTCCAGTTTCTTGGATGAAAGCTGGCAACTTCCAGTAAGAGATTTTTAATTTTACTTTCTTTGATGCCATCTATTATATAATTAATTATGTTCTCCTGTTCTGATTTATAACTCATAATGTTCTGCTGTTGTCTTTTTTTACTGATCGTGCAAGCCTTAACATGTTCATGACAGGAAAACCAAACTGGCATTTCATCTTTGGGGCTGGAATTTAATTTTTATACTATCTTACACAGAACTGATGACAGGGACATGGAACTCTCAGAAATCTGCATTTTGGGCATATTTTTGAATTTGATAATGAGCTTTTAATTTGCTTTCTAATCATGCATCCAACCTCAGTTACAAAAAAAACCTATGAAATTTGAGCCTCAAGTTCGAACAGTATTGTTTCTATTATCTATGCTTTTGTTGAAATTTTAAGCATTTGCCTTTTCAGTATTTCAATTGTATCTAAGGGTTTAGAGCTCTGACTTTTACTGGATCATGGAAACAGGTTGTCAGTTTGATAATTGTTCTTAAATTGTATCTGTTATAATCATGTTTATTACTCTTTTGTGGAGAGAAAAGATACTATGGTAAGACTAAAATAGTTTCATGCTATCAAATTGGGCCTTAGGCTGGCCCAGTAGGTTTCTAAACCGTGCTTGATTTAGTGCATTAAATTGAGATAGGCTTCTGCATTTGCATAATTATGACTTCTTTACAACTCTTATAGCGTGACTAATTGTGAGAGGTGCTGGGAGCAACATATAGAAATGCTATGATTGGTTCCCCCTCTTAGCTCTCAAGATCAAGGATAATTTAATTCAAGTTGTGTTGAAACTGAATCTGCCTTAGAATTCTACTTTCCCTACAATTAATGATTTTATTTCACCCTATAACTGCAATTCTGTTTTTTCCTTTGTGAATAAATGGAAATTTCAAGGCTTCAGGAACCTTCAGAAAGTCCCTTTCAAGTGCTTAGGTTCATAGAAACATGCATATAATTTCCCCATATTTAGTAAACATGATAGGTATACAAATCATTGATTTACTGTAGTCTTCACCATTTATAGATAACTTAAAACGCTTCACTCAATTTTGTTCTGTCAAATACAGCTATCTTCATTACATAAGGTAAAGGTAAAGGTTCCCCTTGCACATATGTGCTAGTCGTTCCTGACTCTAGGGGGACAGTGCTCATCTCTATTTCAAAGCCAAAGAGCCAGCGCTGTCCAAAGATGTCTCCGTGGTCATGTGGCTGGCATGACTAAATGCCAAAGGAGCATGGAACACTGTTACCTTCCCACCAAAGGTGGTCCTATTTTTCTACTTGCATTTTTTACATGCTTTCGAACTGCTAGGTTGGACAAGTAACGGGAGCTCACCCCATTACGCAGCACTAGGGATTCAAACTGCTGAACTGCCGACCTTTTGATTGACAAGCTCAGCGTCTTAGCCACTGAGCCACCGCATCCCTTCTACATTAGTTACATTAGTATTAAATTAATTTTGGAATTTATATGGCTTGTGCATATACAGCTTTATTTTAATTTTTTTTGCATATCTTTCAGGTTCTTAACTAACAGTATGGCATCTTATGCATAAAAAGTACATATCCCAATCAACACACCTCTGATATCACAGTTCTGTTTATCCTATGCCTAAATACAGTAAGCAGCAAAAGAAACATCATATGTCCTTATCTTACCACTTCCTCAATGTTAGACCTTTTGCTAAGCATTCCATTTATCTTTGTGCATGCCTTACTTACCAATGTACAACTATGATCATGCTCAACAACTGTCAACTTAATGTAGAACATTTCAAATGGAAGGTTATCATTTTATTATACAGTTTATCACAATCAAATGTACAATAAACCTAATTTCTTACATTTATACATTTCTTCTACTAAAGATTACAATTATGTTCTGTGCACCCATGTCTGGCACACTATACTTCCCAAACTTTATCCATTGTCACCTTATGAAAGACTAAACTCACCACCCAGAGTGAGTAGGCATTTTTCTGTCTCCTGATATCCAGAGCTTAACTGGGCTTTTTAAGTCACATTTTAATATTATTTTATGATGTTACTTATAAAAGGCCCAGAGTCGCTGAGGTGAGATGGGCAGGTACCAATCAGATAGATAGATAGATAGATAGATAGATAGATAGATAGATAGATAGATAGATAGACAGACAGACAGACAGACAGACAGACAGACAGACAGACTGACTGACTGACTGACTGACTGACTGACTGACTGACTGACTGACTGACTGACTGACTGACTAACTGACTAACTGACTAACTGACTGACTGACTGACTTGCCACCTTCATACTTCATCCCATCTAATGGAAGCTACATAAGAGTGGTTGTATTTAGAGGCCCTAATGGAAGCAAAATGTTTCATTTTTGTCAATGATGAAAGCTTGATGAAGGAGAAGTCCTTCAAATGTGCTGGAAGTTCTACTGACAAATCGTGCTTTCCAGGTATGCCAGACTTATGAGACTGTCCCTTGCCGGGAATTGGGAATGGTGTTGAGGTAAGATATTTGACCCTTTCATATATGGCTTTCTGATCCTTGGTTTTAGCAGCCATTAAGATCCAATCAATAAACCATTGCTGATTCATAGATCATGCCAAGCTATGATTTTTAATTGTGGTTTATTGAATAAACCACAGTATCTGGGGTCACATACAACAATAAATCATGATTTACAAAACATAATGGTTCATTAAGCCAAACCAATCTGACTATTATGCTTTGGCACACAACGCTAACTTAATTCCATTTTATATTATGTATTCTGCTCAACTTCTGAGATTTCACTGGACATTGCTCACGAGCTGCTAAAACGAAATATAAGAAAAGATACTTGGGTAAAAGTTCAACAATCACTGAGGCTGAAATACTTTCTCAGATGGATATAATTGGGCCAGGTACTACCATATTGGCTTGTCTATTATGAGGTCAAAGAATCAAGTTTTTGTTAATGAGTTGCTTGTATATAGACCAAAGATATTAAATTCTGCATCCATCAGTAAATTAAGAATATATACCCTGTTTCTGTTAAAAGCAACAGCTTTTTAAACCACTATACATTGTTTAGCATTTTCTTCTTGTAATCCATCTGTCAGATAGATTAATTTATTGTAAAGCTTGAACATTATCTAAAATAAAAAACAAATTTAGGAAGGAATTTAATAATTTTTTTAGAAAGGAGTACTTAACATGTTTTCTCTTCCAAATTCTGACCCCTGTCCAATATAACGTTACATGTAGTATTTTGAACTTAGTGGTGAATAAGCTAAACAAAATTATGGACTGGAAAACATTTACTTTCAAAGTTTTGCTTCTCTGCTCAAAATTAATGATACAGTATTTTTAACTATTTCAAGTATATGTTTATATCTTAACATCGGAACCTCTTTGCAATATTTCAACCTAATGCATCTCAAATGGCAAGTGGTCCCAAGGAGCTAGTCATTTGAACTGCAACCTCCTCAATTAATTCAGTACGCTTATTGTATCAACTTTCCACTTCTGTTCCTTTTGCTTAAAAAAAACATTGACATCGGATCTTCATCTTAAGATAATTTCTAGTACAATATGTAACCAGTTTCAGGGTGTTTTGATTTGCAACTTCCATCATGCCTTAGCACTAGCTTTGCTGGCCAGTACCGATGGGAGTGTAATCTAAACCAGGAGTCTCTAACCTTGACAACTTTAAGGTTGGCAGACTTCAACTTCTGGGAGTTGAAGTCCTCCAGGCTTAAAGTTGCCAAGGTTGGAGATCCTTGATCTAAATCATTCAAACAAAAAACTGCCTCTACAAGATCTGGTTTCTCGGTCACATGGCCACTAATTGGTTGATACACTGGCATTTTTGGTCTGGTTTGGATTTTCCCCTCTCGCCAAAATTTTGTAACATGCTTCAGTTTATCAAAGTACCCAGGTTTGGAAGAAGGATAAGACTTTGTATGTTGCTGGGCCAACTGCATCATTGGCCTCTGGGTGGAACTCCCAGCAATTCGGCAGTTCAAATCTCACAGCTCAAGTTTAACTCAGCCTTCCATCCTTCTGTAGTCAGTAAAATGAGGACCCAGATTGTTGGGGGCAATATTCTGACTCTGTAAACCGCTTTCAGCACTGTGAAGCAGTATATAAATCACTATGAAGCGGTATATAAATCTAAGCGCTATTGCTATTATGTTTGAATTGTGACTAATCAGTGTATTATTTTCCTAATGTGCTGTACCCAAGCTCATTATTTTCCTCATTATTTTCTTTTGTTTGAGTTTCTAACAATACAATTCTTCAATTCTTCAGTTTGCGTTTCTAACAATTCAATTTTCTTCTTCTTTTTTATATCAGGTATTTAGATGGACGGGTTTTCATAATAGAAGTGCTTCCAAAGAGCCAGGCAGAGGTGGATGAGGTAGTACTAGTTGGAGATGTCATTGACGAGATAAATGGATCTTCACTGAGGAATGCGTGCAATGGACAGGTATGGGAGGGAGGAACATCCTGATCCCTGGAGATGGAAGAGGGAAAGTTGGTGTGTTGTCTGCTACTTTGACCTGAAAAGAAATGGAAGAGATGGCTGTGCATTGTTGCTATGGGAACTGTACTGAACAAAAACTCTTGGGTTTGACCTGGAGATCAAGACGAAAAAATCAAGGTGGGAGGGATGTAGAAACGTACCAGGTTTTTAAGATCTTTTTAATATTTATGAAGATTTCTATTTAGGATTATTATTTAAGATTTCAGAAATGTAAATTACTGGTTTATTTAAGGACTAAAGAGTTAAAACTGTACCCTACTATTAGCATACTTCCCCATCCCCTCCCCATCGATATTACCCCTTCAAGAGATGACCTTCTGTGGGAGTCAACATAGAATGTTCAGATACAAACTTATAAAGTCTGTTGCATGGAGATCATGAAGAAGAATAGATGGCTTAGTTGGAATAGCGATGCTTAGTATCAGTGCAATGACTATTCAGTCCACCATATCTTCCTCAGAACAGACGATTCATTTCTACTCTTATCTCAGGCACAGCATGCTGAGGCATGGGGACCAAGACTGTTATATACAGTATGTAAAAATAAAAAATAGGGAAAAAGAGAGAAAGGGCACCTGTCAAAGCCAAAGAACACTTTGGAATAATGGTCCATAGCATTTCAAAAAGAATAACAATTAAAATGAAGTGTGGCTAAAGAACTTGGTCTTGAACTTTTTAAAGGAAGAGAAGAGTTTAAAAAATCATCCAATCTTGTCTGAAGTAGCTATCACTCTCAAATGGTTATGTACAATTCTGTAAAGTAAAAATATATATAGAAGCTTCTCTTAAGAGGTATGGTCCCAACTCGTTGCAATCTTTATACTAAGAGCCAATTTTAATTTTTTCAGTATATCTATATGTAGGCAAAACAGCATCTTCCCATTTTATAAAGAGGCAATGATAAGTTTGGTGGGATTGCACTATTTGTAGAAGTATTAAAAACAAAAGTCTTTAGAAACAAAAACAAAAAACCACCTGTTATCAGGGAAGGACACTCTAAAACAGACCAGCAAGGATATACAATGGATGAATCCAGAATGCTGACAGATCCCAAGGAAGAAAAGTGGTGGGAAAAGGAGAGGTTGAGAAATGTGGATGAGTTTCATGGAAGGCATTAGGAACTGAAGCGCTCCACACTACAACATTTTATTGAAGAATCTATTAGTGATCTACATATTATACTGTATTACAAAGCCAGTTTGATGTAGTGTTGAAGGTTCTAGGCCTCTCAGTTATGAAAGCCAAGTGGGTGACTTCCAGTCAGTCAATCTCTCTCAACCTAACCCACCTTGTTATAGGGGGGAAAGGCAGATCTATTAGTATATTTTCCATCTTGATTTATATATGAAAAAAGGTGGGATAAAATAATAATCCATGGTGCATGTTTTAAAATGCACCAATTGGAGAAGATCACAAAGTATCAAAGTCTGAAAATCTAAATTGAAAGATTATGGCATTAGCTGGTCATAGTAATCCCAGCGGTTATTAGCACACAGGTGCCATACCAAAAGATTTTGGACACCACATAGAAAATCTGTGTGTTGACAAAATTTTCACCCATAAGTTATAAAAGGTCACATGGCTTGGATCCACACAGATTCTATACACTAATACATTACTGTACAACATCTTATGTCCATGATGGCGAACCAATGGCACGCATCCCGCAAGAGGCACGCAGAGCCATCTCTCTGGGCATGCCAGTCATTGCCCGTTGCTCTTCTGGGTTCCAACACAAACATGCATGCCAGCCAGCTGGTCTTCACATGCGTGGGTGCCGGAAACCGGAAGAGCAGCTCCCTGGCTGCATGCGCGCACTGAGAAGCTGAATGTCTGGTTTCCAGCACGTGCATGCACACTGGCCAGCTGGTCTTCACGTGCGCACGTTTGCCAGAAACTGGAAGTTTAGCGTGCCGGGGAACTGCTCTTCCAGTTTCTGGCGCTCCCGTGCATGCGCACCAGAAAGCTGCTCTTCTGCTTTCCAGTGCTCCCCCGCATGTGCGCACGTGCTCCCGTTTCAGCACTTGGCACCGAAAATGTTCGGCAACACTGTCTTAGATTATTGGGAAGGACATCATGTGTGTGTGAACGCTAATACAAGCTAACAAACTGGCAGCTGTGATTTCATGTTGTTGGATATATAATAATACTCATGAGTCAATTGCAAAAGGCAGCTTTATTTGGAACAGCTTAGATGCTGTGATGGTACCTTTAATATTATTAAATAACAATGTCTCCCTATCCCTTGATCAGGACTCAATAGTTGAACAAAAATGCCAAATCCAATCTAAACATCTGATTGACTATGGGATTCTCCATAATAAGAATATATTAGCAAAAGGCATGCTAACTCTTATATGCTCAGTGACAGGGGTGGGTTCTATTTACTTTTACTACCGGTTCGCAATGGGGCCGCATGCGTGTACTCGCTTTGCTCGCGTGTGCATGTACTCTTCTGTGCATGCGCAGAAGCGTTTTGATGATGTTGGGGTCAGTGGGCAGAGCCTCCCACCAGTTTTACTACCCGTTCTATAGAACCGGTGTGAACCGGGGACAACCCACAACTGCTCAGTGATAACAGCTTAGATACTGTGCTATGGTTTCTACTCACTAGGAAAATACCCAGTCAATAAGTTAACAAGCTTCACTGACATGTCCTAGTAGTAACCAGAGTGACCATTTAGATCAGCTTTCCCTGGCTCCAGATTTATTACAAGGACAGGGAATAACTAATCTAGTGGATGATGTTAGGAGGCCCTTGCTGATCATCCATGTATCTCTTCGTTGCAGGCTGGTTCAGTACTGCAGAAGCTGAAAGGCAAACCACTAAACTTTCGCCTAATCCGATGGAAATGGCACGATGGAGGAATGTTCAAGCCATTGTTGCCCTATCTAAAAGTTCTCAGAGAAAAAATCCCCAGCTTCCAGCTCCAACATGAACACAAACCTAAAGAAGAGAATGAGGAGCGAAGTTTGCAAGGAGGCAGGTAGTGGCTGCTCGGGACAATTATGAAAACAAAGTGTGGCAGATTTTCACAAGTCCTACCAGTGGTGGGTTCCTCCCGGTTCCGCCCGTTTCCACCGAGCCGATAGCGGTGACGATATGATGTCACCGAACTGGTTCTGGTCCCCCCGCCCCCTATCCCTGCGTTATTCTTACCTTTTATTTGGCCCTACCCCCAATCTATTGCTGCCTCCTGAATCCCAGCTGATGACTAGGAGGAAAAAAACTGTTTAAACTCTTGCCACGGGGCTTCAAAGAGCCGCCCTACAGCTGATCAGTGTTAAAAGAAAACAAATGAGTAGACCAGTGCCTGCAAAAATACATGAGTAGACCAGTGCCTGCAAAAATACATGAGTAGATCAGTGCCTGCAAAAATAAATGGGTAGATCGGTACAGCCTGGTAGACCATTACCTCTGCTAAATCCAAAATAATTGTCTCATGACCATCAAACCACGCCCACAAAATAAGCCACGCCCACAGAACCAGTAGTAAAAAAATTTAGAACCCACCCCTGAGTCCTACCTCATCACCACTGGTTGGGTGCATAAGTCATTCCCCAAATCTAACCCACTGGTCCTTCAGCTGCTGCAGTTTGTAGTCTCTAGCCTGAGAGGCAATCCTGGACAGGAGCCAGCCTCTTTCCAATGTCAGACAAAGGGTGGCAGACACACATACTTTTGAATATCCCTCCTGAAACAGAACTCCAAGAGATCTCGCAAACCTCATTTCTGGTGGCTACAGAAAAAATGGAGTTACAGGCAGTGGTGGGATTCAAAATTTTTTACTACCAGTCCTGTTGGTGTGGCTTGGTGGGCGTGGCATGGCTTGGTGGGCGTGGCTCGCTGGGCATTATTATAGAGAAAACTCATAATGCAGTTTTGCATTTCTCAATCACGTGTGGCATGCCATCTAGGTTTTACTCAGCTGCCTTGTATAAAATTGCTGATGATGATATAGCCCAGTTCTCTGAAAATGTGTGGGATGCAGTTGTGAATCCTGGGAATTACAGTCTGAATACTAAATAAATATTTTCTTACTGGCAGTATACAAAATTAATTTAATGGAACGCATCACCCTTCCTGAAATAGGGAAGAAGTCCATGAAAGCTAAGTAGGAAACCAGAGCTCCCCTTGTAGGTTCATGCACTGAACCAAAAGACTGGAGAATCTCAGATGATGATTTCTTGGACTTCAGAGATTTTTGAGCTCAAGTCTCAGCAATAAAAAGAACACTTTGGATTACTTAATACTATTCCTGATTATTTGAGTGTACGTCTATGGTTCAGGCTTGGCAAAAGTCTGCTCCCATAATATCAGACTTTACTCAATTTTTAATAGTTTTTAGTAGTTGTTATCCACTGTATCATTTTTCCTGTTCTTGTTATTTCATAGTTATTATCAGCTGTATTTATATATTTTACCTTAACTGATCAATATAAGAGGCGCCCTATTAACATATATACGTCCTTCTTAGAAAAAGAGGGCTTTGGGTTTCTGGCTTGATGGTACCAAGACCATTTGATTGCATGATTACTGACATATGATAGAAGAACTGTCTACTACGGTAGTAGTAGAACTACTCTTCCTCTGCTGTCAGTAAGTACTACTGATCGAGAGGCTGGGGAAACAAGCATAGCTCTTCAGTCCAAAACTTCTGTGAAGGCAACTTCGGTTTGCTTTTGGGATTTTTTCACATGCTGCATCTTGATGTGAAAATAAAGAAACTGTGCATAGATTTCTTGATCGAATTGTTTAATCTCATTTCTCCATAGACTCTTGTACAATCTGCGGTACTTAGGCCAGGCCAATGTAGGAAAGGTGAGGCTATGTTTCTGAAGAGAAAAGGGGGGTTGTTCAGTTTTCAATACTACTTTTAGGTCTGCATTTTTCTCACATTTTTTTCATCTCTTGGTTTCTTTTCCAGTATGGAGGCAAAGACATATTAGACGTAGGCATACCCACTGTGTTAGATAAGCATTTACCACAGCAGGTAAGATTTATGCTGGGAATAAGAGATGAATGTTTATCAAACTACTTTCTTTTGTTCTTAAATCATTATTTTAAGTTATGCTTTTTAAACAAAGAAGCAGATTGAATCTTGAATATTATAGCCCATTGTGATGGCAATCTTGATAATTTAATTAATAAAGTCAAAGGGATTTAGATGCTGGGGTTATTTGAAATGAGAAAACACCACAGGTGATGAGGCTTATATTTTAGATAAAAACATGTTCTGTGTAACAAATTCTGTAAAGAAAAATCCCTCCTTTAGGTCTCTAAATTAAAGGCAGAATGTGGCTGAACTTTTGTTTTTAATAGGAAATGCCTTGAGAAGTGCCATTAAATCATGTAGGACAAGTAAATCAAGTATCAGAATTTTCTAAATTAGAACTAGTAGAAGTCCACCGTTTGAGGCAGATATAGACAGATATCAGGTTGTAATTCTTATTTGGGTTACCCCATGAGGCTGACAGTGTACTTTAAAAGCCTCTGACATGATTGCGAGCAAGATGGCTAATTCCCTAATCTCCCAGTGCTCAAGCCCTCAGAAAACTGTTGGCCTGTGATCTCCACACAGGAAGCCATCCAGAACACATGGTGATTGCTCATCTTCTCTTTATCTGGAGGAGGAGGTTCCAAGGAATCAGTCTAGACACAGGTTGCTTGATCTTTGCCATGATCATCCGTTCTATGTTTGCAGAGCTGTCTTTAGTTTGCCATACTTCTCCCGGAAGTCCAAGAAGAAGAAAAAAGTCTTATGAGATGACTCCCCTCTTCTCCTGCAAAGCTATGGCACATCCCACCTGCTGATCTTTCCAATTTCTTCCTTCCCTTTGTAAGCATGTAGCTGCTGCCATATTTGAATCCAATGCAGCATATCCAACCTGCCCCTCTCCCCATCTTCACCTAAACCTTTTTTGCTATGCACTTTGTCCCTCCCTTTGATTTTTCCATCATCTTCCCAGCACCGTATTTCTCCTTTTCTGCTACTTTTCATCCCTAAACACGTCTTCCAGAATGTGCACGTATCAGGTTCATGCCTGGAGAAAACAACTGGGCTTGAGTCTGGGCACAAATTGCTCAGTCCTGACTGGTCTATGGCAGTACAAGTATGGAATGTTTTACGTATACTGGTGCCTGGCTATTACAGTTGTAAGTTGTGATGGTCTTAAAACGAGTCATCATGTGACCAAATCCCATTTTACAACCTTTTTTGTGGTGTCTATGGAGATTCTCAGTCATCCAGCTCATGGTTGTCCCAAGGGTGCTTTATCAAAAGGAAACTGGACTTTTTGTCTCTCATCCAGTTCTGAAGATGAGAAGCGAAACATCTTCAAAGAAAAACCAGAAAGTCCAGTTGCCTCTTGAAAAAGCACCTTTGGGACTTTTTTCTGTGATGATCATTGAGCAGCAGTTGTTAAATGAACACAGTGGTCGTAAAGCGAATGCCTCTGTTAGGTTCAGCTTGTAGCTTACTCCTAACTTGTTGGTCAGGCAATATATCTGTTTCTTTAAGAAACAACTGAGCCACGTAATCAGGGTTTGCTGAACCCTGTAATTAGGCTACAGTGCATAAATAAGCAGCACAGAGAAGCGTTCCTTCTTCCTGAATGATCCTGTTGCTTCCTGCGTCTTTCTGCTGAATTGTTATATGGTACTGTATACCAAGAGTTACTAAAGTCTGTTTGCTTTGGTAAGGGAAGATAATTACTGGACTGATATTACTGTTTATGACCTTGGACTGTTTTACCTACACCAAGACTGCTTCTTATCTTGTATATAAAGTATTTTTCTCACACGAGCTGTACGTTTATCTCCTTCCCTGTGTGTTTCTGCTCTGCTCGTTGCACAAGCAACAAATACTTTTTACACACACCCTAACAGCCTCCATCCTAAAGCGAACGTTGCAGTCCTAAAGCAAATGTTGTGGTTGTTAAATGAACTCCTGGTTCGCTAAGGGATGTTTTTCTCCCATATTAGAAGTAAACAGCAAAAATGTTGTAAATTGTGGTTTTGTGACCATGGGATGCTACAGACAGCCATCAATGTAGGCCAGTTGCCAAGCACTCAAAATGCAGTCATGTGACTGGGTGGAGGGGAGGGCTGCCATTAGAACTTTGGAACTGGGTTGTAAGTACTTTTGGGGGGGGGGCGGTCTGTCACGATTTGAAATAGTTGCTAAGTGAACCGTCACAAGTTGAGGACTACCTGTACCCGTTTTAGTTCAGTATCCCTTTTTTCCCTGGTTTTGAAGTTTAAGGAACATAAATCTAGATCACTCTGCTACGCAGCAAAATCCATCAAATGTATGTAACCTTGAAGAATTTTCAGCTATCGAAAAGAAATGCAGAACTGTAATAAGTAGAATATGTTTATATTATCCCAGCCAGTGTTTATCAATAGACTTAGACTAACTTTATTGTCACTTTGAATGTAGACTGATCAGCATATATTAAAATGAAATTTCGTTGCATACAGCTCTCAAGAAGGGTGTCCACCTCTAATATACACTACATAAACATGACAAAGTGAATAAATAAATACAAAATTATTCATATACCCATATATATTATATGACATGGAGAAACAAACAGAATCTAGTTGTGATGGCAAAAAGGTGAAAACTGTACCCAAAACATTTAAAGGAAGATGCTAAATTGCCTGTTCCTGGTATACTTGTAATTTGAGTGATGGTTGGCTTTGGCAGCCAGTGTTAAGCTGGACTGGCTTGTTCAACTTGTCTCACCCAAATATTATAGCTATGGCAACGCAAGTTGCTCACTTGCCTGTGTGGGTTTTTAATGATCTAGATAACAAGTCAACACAAACATCAACTCTTGAGAGATATGGCAGAAATGTGATCAGCTGCCTATTTACCACTATTGAGCAGGCGTAAAAAGATTTTCCCAGTCTACGTGTTGCTGTTTAGCTGAAATACTAATAAATAAGTATTTATAAGTAGCTCTCGGGTGCATTAGGATGGTTTTGAAAGGCCCAATGACATCATTTTCCTCTTTATTAGGTAGAAAGGTAAAGGGAAGCCAATAGGCCAAAGTTCATCTTTCTTTGACTAAGGTTGCCATGGTTAAATATGTAATAAACTGAAGCTACATTGCATATAGATAGAACTGTTTAAAAGTCATGCTGCTACATTAATGAAACTTTCAAATGGTTTTCATTGTTTTTTCAGATACTTTCAGAAATGATTGTTAGCTCTTTAAGTGGCAATTCACTGATCTGTAAAGTGATTCAGTTGAAACTATGTTTACTATGATGTTGTCTGGGTAGAAGGAAGAAACAGGAAAAGAAAATTGGAAACATAGCAGGTCCAATTTTAAGTTTCTTTTAGGGACGCTTTGTCACTTGATAGTGTTATTAACAGTTGTAATATTATTTCTTCAGGAAATTTTATTCGATGTCAAAGAAACCGAAGTAATTGTTCAACACAAAACGACTTCAAAGGTTAGAATGTTTGTTTGCTGACTGTGCTTGATCATGCCTTAATAATTTATTGCCTTTTTATAACCTGGGCAATACTTGCTTAAAATATACTGGAAATGTTTCTAAGGATAGTCATTTTTTAATTGTAGACCTAATCTTTATTATGTCTTGACATTCAATAAAAATAATTCCCAAAAGAATGAGCTTTGACCAATGCCTTAACGGAAAACTGTTGTCATTTTCAGGTTCTTTTCAGTTATTCTTACACAGACATTTCCTGTGTGGGACGCCTTCTGGATAGCCACAATCTCTTTGCTTTCTGTAGCTTGTAAGTTTTATTTTGAAAAACCATCCACGTGTGGTGACATATTTCAAGACTATATTTACCAGTCCCATTAATCATGTCATAGTGGTAATAGTAATAGTAGCAGTAGTAGTAATTTTCAGTGTAGGGTGTATCCATCAATTACATTCAAATGCTTCAGTGTGTCCTTTACTAACAATACAGGAATCTTAATGATTTCCTTATTGGACTTTGTGAATCATGCCGATTACCTGTTTAGCACATATTCTACCAAAGTTCCTCTTTGTGATTAAATGTTCCCTTCCACATTGAATTGATAAACTAGCTCATATCCAAGATGAATTAGGTTACCCGCATGAAAGAACCAAGTAATCCATTTTATTGATAGCCTGGTTTGTCACTTAGACCCATTAGGGGAATGCTATTATGTACGGGCAATTAGTCATATGCTATCTTAAATGTATGGGATGTCTAAAGTTACCATCTTTACTTTATAGAACTTCACCTGACTCTCCAGAAGATAGCACTTTTGATTGCCTAGTTTTTGAAACAAATTCCGAAGAGGAAAGTGAGGAAATCATAAAACGGATTGGTAAGGAATATGCTTTGGAATACATATTGTAGTAAAGGCTACTGTATTTTGTTAAGGTGTATTACTCTATACTTCACAGCTTTACCTCTTCTGCAACTTTCTTCCATTTAAGCATTCTCCAGAATATATAGGTTGGGATGGGCTGTTGTATTAATATGAGTCCTGTTGCATTAATGAAATTCTGCTAAGGCAACCCAGTTATGTCCCAAGCATATACAGCATAAAACTAATAGTTCTTTGATATGATTACTTTGGTTAGGCTTTTAAATTAATCCATTCTTACATTTCAGATACCTGTATAACGGCGTGATAGCTTAAGAAATAAAAAGTAGACCAAGGCAGCATATTAACATGTGGTCCTGTAATAATTGATGTCTGAAGTTTTACAAACTTGTATCAATTTGTTTCATTAATTGTTGGACTAAACATCCCTAGAACTAAAATCCAAAATGTTCTTTAGATAGGGTTTGTAAACAATGCTAGCAACTACACATCTAGCATGAAAGTATTTACGACTATAGCAGTAAGCGATCTGTAATGTTCCTACAAAATAATTCAAGACATGACAAATTGTGTTTGTTTCTTTAGCTGCTGGATTTAAACATACAGAGTGGTTTGTCTGACAGATGTGATGTCCTGCCGCCTCATTAGCCTGCTAAAGTCTAATATCAATCAGTGATATCTTGATGGGTCAACTCTTGGATTACGGAGTCACTTGGTACAGATTAACATTCTGTCCAGATAAAATTGTTCTAGATAAATCAAACAGAAGACTCAACTGCTTTTTCAAATGTTTACATTGACAATTTTCAAAATGGAATAAAATCAAGCTGAAGCAATAGTTTGCATAAGGTAGCATATCTACACTGAAAACAAGACCAGTTTGATAAAGCAAAGCAAATAACTGAATAGTTTCTCAGCAGGCAACTTTACAAATGTTCTTTAAGTTTAAAATACCCATTATGGGTTATCTAACAAAGACAAAATCCTAAAACAATCTGTAAATTTATATTCTCAAACAATGGGTTGAAATACCTGGAACAGCTTGTTTTTTTTAAGAGGCAGCACAGAAACCTGGGCTGCTCTTACCTAGTTTCATTTCCATGAGTCATCTAATTAGTCTAGAAACAAGGCTGAAATAATTTTGTACGCCAAGAAATTGAGTAGCATTTCCTAGTTCCTAAATTATTCTGCAAACATAAGAATCAAAATCAGAAAGACTATTCACTGACTTGTTACATAATTGCTGCAAACTATTACTGCAATTGGGGATAAATACAAAGCATAGACATGCTTCAACTTGATTTAAGCATAAACCCAAGTAGAAATGCTACTTTTCCCACAACAATGACAGGACTCATGTGAATGTAAAACATTTAATTTAAAAATGTTGACACTACAATATATAAAATAGCTATTATAAATGCACATAGTGTATTCTATAGCTGCCAGGTTTACGTTTTTTTTAGGAAACTGTAAGTTACACTGTGGTTAAGACTTGTACTTTTACCCCTTCAGAAAGTCCACATTCTGTCACAGTGATGTATGGTCAGACTTAACAGCCCCAATTGTTAAACACTTGAATCAAGTTATAACCAGTTTTATTGCAAAAGGACCCTGTACACATTTATATCAATTCTAGTACCTTACAATTTTAGCTACCCAACAAGTCATTAACATACAGAAACATGCATGAAAAGCAAGAAAGATCACCCATCCCTTCTGCATATTAGCAACTTGTCACTACTGAGCAACAGGGCTCACATCACTGAGTTTTATGTGAACAGTCACTGTTAGCATTCATCCTGAGTGAAAGATGGAATGACTTAAGTACAAATGTAACATATTATAAACAATTTCATACAAAAAAAAGTCACAAATTGAAACCAAAGTATTTTACAGAATTTACTACAAAACACCATAAAAACTGCTTCCTTTTAAGCCCTCTCGCCCCGTATCCTACGAGCCAACTGGATGTCTTTGGGCATAATGGTAACTCTCTTGGCATGAATGGCACAGAGATTTGTATCTTCAAACAGACCCACCAAATAGGCTTCACTAGCCTCCTATGTGAAAGATAAAAAAACAAGTTATTGGTTAGACATTAACCTATAAGGACACATTATTCCTTTCCCCACATATAAGAATAGTAGTACTTGAATAGGTTCATACCTGCAGTGCACCAATGGCTGCACTCTGGAACCTTAAGTCTGTCTTGAAATCTTGGGCAATCTCCCTTACGAGCCTCTGAAATGGAAGCTTGCGAATCAAAAGTTCTGTTGACTTTTGGTAACGGCGAATCTCACGCAGTGCCACAGTACCAGGTCTGAAGATTTTTTTGGGGGGGGGGGAGAGAAAGGAGTAAAGCCATCTGTTAACAGCATATAACAGTTCCAGGAAATTTCTAAGTCCATCTTTCAAAATAGTTTCAAAGAAGTAAAAATACCCTACAGAATCTTGGCATGGTTGGCCGGTCGCTGACAACAGCAGTGAGACATTTATAGTTCAAGCAAGGCTAACACTAAAATCACAGTAACAGAAGCTAACTTTGTTACAACACACACACCACTCCCTTCTTAATCCTTTTATTTCCACAGATCACCTTGGCGGTTGTCCTAAAACACACATTCCAGATTGTTTTGTCTTATTACCTGTAGCGATGAGGTTTCTTGACTCCACCAGTAGAGGGGGCGCTTTTCCTAGCAGCTTTAGTAGCCAGCTGTTTACGTGGAGCTTTGCCACCGGTGGATTTACGGGCAGTCTGCTTGGTACGGGCCATTTTTGTTCACTCTTCTGAAAGAGAAAATAAATTCGATGGGCGGGCGGACGGACGCGGCAGCTTTCTCCAAATTCCCGAAGGTCGAGCCGGCCTAAGTGGGCTTTCCGGCACTTCAGCCTCCCATCTGTGCGTCCTCCTCTTCCCCGAGACGGAAACGCTTTGGCGGGAGGGGAACGGCAGCGGCAGATGTCGTCGTCGTCGTCCTCCATGCGGGCACAGGGCCAAGGAGGTTCAGCCAGCGCGGCGCACCGCCAGGAACTGCTCTCTCTCCTGGTTGCTTGCCCACGCGCGATCCCGGAGAGGAAGCCCGACTTCGTTCCTTCCCTTCTGTTCCCAGCCCCGATAACTACCGCCGGCGTTAAATCTCCGGCCTTTGCTTAGCAGCCGACCCAGAACAAAGCGGCCTTCCTTCCACTTTCTTTCCTCCACCCATTTGTCACAAAATTTGCTCCCCGAAGCACGAGGACCCTCTTTCTTTTCCCCACTGTCACTGTTCCCCCCACCCTCGCTCCCAGCCGAAACTCACCTCTTTCGGGAACAAATCCTTAAAAAAAAAAAAAAACACTTCCGCTGTAAATGCACAAATGGCACGTACCCGCACAGCCTTCGAAAAAACCTGAACTGTCCCCTCCCTCTGTTGGGACGCTGCCTTTATAGAGGGAGGGAACCTCAAACGTCATGACGTCACAATACAGACACGCGACGCGCGGAGCTATTGGCATCTGCTTTCGCCGGCGCCATGACGTTAGCTGATACAAAGACAGTTTCCCTGCATCCTGCATGCGATTGGATGGAAGCTCGAAACCCGATTGGTTGTTAAAGTTACACGCTGATTGGCTACCGTGGGCCGGAGCAAACCAATTACAATTGCAGTGAAGCTGGTGGTTCTGATTGGACAATAGAAAACATGGTTTGGATCCTACTTTTTGTTGCAAAGCTCTACAATGGAAAGTCAATGGGAAAGAAAAGCAGTCCGTTCTGAGTGTCCTGGACTCAATGGGGAGGGCAAATTAGAGAAAACACAGCCTGGCAAATACGAAGGGAATGTGAAATGGTAGCAGAGGTAGGAGGACGTAGTTGACTGTACCTGACGTTCGTTTGCCGTCATATCAAATTTTATTTTTCAAAGTTTATGTTACCTATAAATAAAGAACATTTATAAAGTTCAGTTATAAGCAGCACATAAACCACAACTTTTCATTTCATTTGCCTAATACTTTTAACATAACAACTAACATATACCAAGGTTTCTTAATTAATTTTTAAATCATCAAAGAAATAACATGAAATTGGTTTATATTATATTTTATTAGCAAAACTAACAGACCAGTATCTAGTTTTCATAATCAAATAACCATGTGTAATGGGCACACTGAATATTTACAAAATGTAAAATGACAAAAAACAGATCAGTCTGATTACAAAGAATCAAGCTAGACTCTAGAATGACAGTTGGCTGTTGCATGTAAAGTACAATGATGATAGTGTATTTTAGATATAAAATGCATACCAAGTTAAATTTGGCAAGTTTGGTCTAGTCTAGTGGGTAAGGCACCAGCTAGAAACCTTGGAGACCATGAGTTCTAGCTCCACCTTAGCCATGAAAGCTGTCTGAATGATTTTGGACCTGTCATACATTAATACGACACAACAAAATTACAACAAAACAATATTTTTAAACATGTAATTGTGTAGCAATTATGGATCCTATGGCTAATTTCTAGGCATTTACTGGAGGATCTGGGTACAAATCAATAATTAAGTTATTTTAAAATCAGGTTAACAAAGCAGAAAAGAAACTACTAGTATGTTTGTTAATGAATTCACAATCTTTATTTGCTTTAGCATTATTGCTACACTGAGAACGCTTCTCAACAAAACATACTCAATGTAATGCACAATCAACCAGATTTTTTTAAAAAAACCAATAAGTACTGTTTTACAATCAGATTTGTGACTATTTAGCAACAAGTGGATTAAATAGTGGGACATCTGGGCAATGTTTGTGAAAAAGAGGCGGGGTTTCCACTATACCAATTTAATTCATAATAATAAAATTCTTATTCAGGTAAAACAATGTTCTATCCAGCCAAACCACAATCCTATGCTCATAGATTCCAACAACACTCAACAAAAAAAGTGTTACATGCCTGCTTCAATCATTCTTCACCACTAATGTTTGAGTACAATAGAAAGTAGTTTGATTTTTTTAAAATAATGGGATAATCATCATGGAGAAGAGTACCAATCAGTTTGTGATTGGCTCCAAATCATTATGCATACCCTTCTGCTGTTTCACCCAGTACCTTGGTAGCTGTTGTGAATTTATACTTTGGTTGTTCCACAAATATAGTAAATAAGAAGCTTAACAGTGGTGGTAGTTGTTATATCCAAAATATAGTTTTACTAGATATGACTGATGTGCCAGTTGTGTTCATATCTATGATGAAAGGATCTGGAAGTGGTAACTCATGCTCTCATCATCAGAGGATAGATACTGCAATATACTCTGCCTGGGACTATCTTTGAAAACTGAAATTAACAATAGTAATAGCAATAGCATTTAAGACTTATTTACAGTGCTTTACAGCCCTCTCTAAGCTGTTTACAGAGTCAGCATATTGCCCCCAACAATCTGTGTCCTCATTGCTGCAAAATGCAGCTGGCTATGTACTGGCAATCAAGAACTGCTTCAAACATATTACATCAATGTTGTAGATGCTGTAGTGTATTGGTTGTCAATACATTTCCAAATACTGTTCATTTCACTTTTGAAACCTCCTACAGCACAGGTGTCAAACTTGATCGCGTCATGATGTATCATGATATATATTTTTTGCCTTTGTGAAGCCAGGGTGGGAGTGGCCTGCATGTGACGCATCTAGCCGTGGACCGCCAGTTTGACAGGCTTGTAAATCTACAGTTTGGCTCCTAGGTACATTCAGAATTGATTTCTCTAGGCAGAACCATTGCAACCAACATGCTCATTTCAACAGCAAAATTTATTCATCCTCCCCAATGGAAGGTGAAATAACTGGAGGTTCAAGGATAACATTTCTTAGTTGCAGATTGACAAAACATTATCATTGTTCTGTAAAGCAATAACCCTAATCCTAAAAATATTTTCTTTAGAAACAAACCAAACAAAATATTTAAGAGAAAAATACATTAATTAATGTCCATGAAACAAAACATCAGTCAAAGATCTCAAATACATATGCTTTAATCTAAACACAATACATATACCAGGATTTACTTTCAAGGAATAAGGATGGAACTTGGCAGTATACAAATAACATGGTATTGTATGCTTACTGGAAAAGGATAACTGTTTTGACTCATGCCCCCTTAACTATAGGGACAAAGTAAGAATTGCAAAGTATGTAAAGTGTAGCCATATGATTAAGTGCTATCAAATCACTGTTTACTCTTTAGAACCACATAGATTTTTCTGTGATTAACCATATGAGTAATCAAATGCTGTCATGACATGTTATAACAAAGATGAAGCATTGTTATGGCATAAATTTGACAAGGTATGGCTAACTTAAATTATTATACGGAAGCCTTGTAGCACTCATCACTTTTCTTATGGCAAAATACTTGATAGATCAGAATCCAGTAGTAGATATATCAGTTTTAACAAGTTTATGGAATTAAACTTTTGCTTTAGGATCAACAATCCCACTGTTTTTATTGTAACAACCTATATAATTTTTAGATTTGTGAGATAATTTTGAGGGTGCTGTCTCTTTGTGTTGGAATACCGATGTGTTATCCAAAGAAAAGATCATATTAGCCTGTGTTTTTTTTAAAAAAATAAACTGGACTTCTCCTTAATAATCCCTAATGAATTTGCCATTATTTTAGTATGACAGCCCATCCATCATCGTTTAGCATAATCGCCTACATTGCACTATTAATTCACACTCAGTACCAAATCTTACAGCATCTAGCAACATTTATTTCCAAATTAATAATGCTAATATCGAGAAATAAAAATAATTGGGGGGGACGTAATTAAACGATTCACAGCTGGCAAAACAGCAACCCTGCTTACATTTTCTCGAAGGCAATCCATGGACGGATTACTTGTAACTACAACACCTATAAATCCCTGCGCTGTTACAATATCCGGGACAGCAAGCGCAGAGGCCCCCTGTACTTGTAGTTTCAATGGCCGGAAGCCTAGTAGAAGAAAAGGGGGATTTTCCGCCATCACCGGGACTACAAGCCCCAGCATGCTTTGGGTAACCCGGGGCGGTAATGGCGGCGGCAGCGCCTGCGCATTGCGGTCTCCGTGCGGACCGCGCAGAGTGAATAATAAAGCTCTCCTCCTCGGTGGTAGCGGGCGGCGGAGGAGGGAGCGGAGGGCAGGAGCATGTCGAAGGGCCCGGTAGGGACCGGGCCTCCTGCGACCGGGCCGGTGGCGCCCGCCAGCGCTCTCCAAGCGCAGCCCGAGAAGCCGCAGCACTACACGTACGTAGCGAGAACACCCGCAGCCGCTTCTTAGTGCTGCTGCTCCAGCCGCCGCCGCCGCCGCACCCCTCCGCCCGCCCGCGCGCCACACACGCCTGACGTCAGCGGGCAGCGTGCGGCACGCGCGCACGGAAACAAACGGCCCGCCCGGAACCGGCTGAAACCGGTTGTGGTCGGCCTGGGCCGGAGGAATTTCGGCTATGGGAGGGGGCGGGGAAGGAGCGGACACCCCCTCCCCCCGCAGCGGTTTTTGGTGCGGGCGGGCGCGCGCGCACCTAACCGCCCCATAAACACAAACACACCCCACAGGCAAGAGGCGCGTACAGTGCCCACGATCCGTTGCGTCGCCTTCGCCCTACGGGTCCTCTGCTCCTCCGTTGGTCATTGGGTTGGGGGGGGGCGTCCGTCTCGCTACTCCCCCCCCCTTGAGAGTCCCCTTCTTTTCGCCGTCACCTCCTTTTTCTCTAATTGAAGGGGACCCTTTTCTGGCCGAGCGGTTGACAAGCCGTTCTGTAAAATGAAATTCCCCTCGGATACTCGGAAAGTTCGTGATCCGAAGGTCCTGGTGGGGAAAATGGGGGGTGTCTTGTCACCAATCTTCATAAACTGGCTTTTCTGTACTCGTGGTCTGTCTCGTGGAATCGAGAGCATCCTAAGTGAAACACTGTATATACAAAAGTATTGTGACTTTCCTCGCCATTTTTTCTTGCTGATGGCTGTCATTAGAAGTTTGGGGGGGGGGGGTGTTTGTTTCTGGCCAAGCCTGCAAAATAAAACTTAAAAGCATAAAGGGAACTGTATTTGTTCTTTCTTTCTTTTTTTTTTTGTCTTTGAATCCTCTGGAACAGTAGTTCCTTAATAAGGAATTTTGAGCCCTGTAGCATATGGTGAGGGGTAATTCAGCTTGTGGTTAAAATAAATGGTCTTTGCAAAAATAACAAAGCCATAAACAAACGTTGTTATGTTCTATTGATTTCATAGAAAATGTTTTAATAGCATCAACATAAAGAGTTAAGTATTAGAATAAGTTGTCTCTTATATTTATAGGTTGCCCTCTTCTGTTCAGAATTCCTAATAATTTCGTATATCTGAGAGCAGTTGCTGTAGCAGGTACAGGTATTTTAGATCTGTTGGTAAATACTGTGCTACTTTGGGACCTTGTAAATACATTATTGGTGACAGTTAATTTGTGATATTGTTATTTTGTATCGTTACTGTACTAGCAACACCTTCTGTTCCTACATCTATTTTATTGTATCTGGCAAACTTGTTTTGCAAGGAATTGGTCATACATAACCTGTTCCACATTAATCTGAGGAATTCATTAATGTGAGATGTGATGGGTACTGATTCGGATGGCTTGGAAAGGAGTAAATACATTCATGGGGGATATTAAAACATTACCTCCATGAGGGCACTATGCCACCAAATAACAATTACAATGAAACAGTGATGGAAAGGGAATATGAAGGACTCCATGTCACGATTGTGAGCATCCTGAAAGCATCTGGTTGGAGACAGTGAGAAGCAGAATGGTAGACTAAAATGGGTCTTAGTCTAATTCTGCAGGGTTATTCAGTTGATTGGTCAGTTGTGCTGCTAATGTCTCAAACCTATTAAAAGCATAATAGAAAACTTTTAAATACATGCAATACTGGGTGTGTAACAGGATGATACAATAATTACTTAGTTTCAACCTGTATGAATGATTGATGAGATAGTCCTTAATTGCAAAACAGGAAGTCTATAGGTTAGCCTCATATACCTGCTGTACATCGTCACAATTTTGAATGTTGATAGAGATTTATGCATGTGATTATCAGACAGTATGCAAATTGCATTTATAATAAAAGTCAGTATAATGTTAGCTGGTTTTTTCCTGGTTACCATCACCTTCCACACTTTCCTCTGTATTCTCAAAATGCATTGGGATATTGGGGGAATCATACAGAGGTGACACTTGGTGTATAGGAGGAGCTATAGAAACTCAACCTCTCCCTGCTTTCACTGATTAAAATATCAGTGAAAAAATCTGATTGAATTTCACTCAGTTTATTTCAAAAAATGTGAAGTTAATATATTTAACAAAACAAAAAAGAATAGCCATGTGAGCTGGTAATTGGTTTATAGCTATGAATATTTTATTTATTTTATAGTTTTTGTTTATGCTGAATTCTATTTAATTTCCTTTACAAATGTACAATTTAAAAATGAAGTTCTTGTTAAAATTATTTTTGATAAATTGTGTGATATTGTAAGAAGCTCATAGCACTAAATCCAATTGTGTACATCTTCTAGTGCAAGGGTGTCAAACTCATGTTGTCATGGTGGCATCACTTGACATATTGTGGCTTTTTCCTCCTTCACTAAACCGGGCATGGGCATGGCCAGCGTTTGATGCATCCGGCCCATAAGCCGTGAGTTTGACAGTCCCGTTCTAGTAGAATAACATCTGTACCATAATAGGTTCCCATTCATCCCAGTGTCTTCCAAAATAGTTCTAGAGATTTGGGAGAAAATCTATAGCAGATGGATTAAGAGGAGGAGGGTGGGAGAGTAATGCATAATCAAATGACCACATGTGTGGAAAGTGTGTAGCTGGTAGTTGGTTTTAGATAGCTTTTTCAGATATTTATATACATGTATAGATCACACTTTCAAATGCAACAGATTCTATCTAGCTTTGATGTATTTGCTTTCACTAATGTGTAACAGTTTATATTTTGCTTATGTTTTTGCAAACAGGATGTGTCTCCTGTCCCTTCCAAACCATACCAGTGTAGTGTTGCTGCATCTTGTCCCTTATGCGTCTTCTGTCCAAATGCTGCTGAGGCATATTATTATAGGCATAAAATATGCCCATGTGTGTGGGAGAATTTTTTTGACAGTCTGTTTCTTGTAGGGATATTTATGAATTATTACACATAGCATTACAGCGTGAATGATGCCAATCTTAAATAAGAAATTCAGTTCATGTACCAAATTTGTGTGTGTACCTGTGTGCTGATTCCTGGTGACTGCCTGACCTAGTCCCTAAAAAGGTTTTTTTGGGGGGGGGGAATTATTTTGCATTGCCTGCTTCCTAGGGATGAGAGAGTGACTAGTCCAAGGTCACCCAGCTGTTGTTATGGTCTAGGATTCACAATCTTCAGGTTTATAGCCTGATGCCTTAATCATATCACCAAACTGGCTACCATGTGCCACTACTTAAGACTATTACTGATTTGTAATTTTTGTTATTCTCTATATTTTTAAAGTAGAAACTTTCAGTTGAGGGAAACATATATTTATAAAGAAAAACTTTGAAACTAGTCTTCCTCAAACCAAATACAAGATACTAGCTAGCCTGATATCCACATACATAATGCAGTATTTTGATTAAGATAATATTTAAAGTTGAATGCAAATACGCTAATCTACTTCTACAGCTTCAGTGTAATTTGTATTTAACTGTCAGGCAGATGCATATTTTGTTAAGGCTTTCAGAAGTGAAAATTGAAAGGATTTTAGATTTCAAAATAAGAATATATATGGAACTGTTTTGTTTGTAGCATATATTTAAAAACAGGGTAATGTAAGTAGAATTCCACCTATAGCCGCTATCTTCCTTGGTCTGATTTTAACTAGACAAGAAAAAAAGAACTTTTTAAAGAATTTGATACTGTATTGAAATAGTGAGAATGGTGAGAAAACAGTCATGAAGGATCTACTAATACTGAAACTGTTTATACATGTAATTTAAACATAGGCAATTGTGTCTCTTGTATGAACTATACTTCTGAGTTACCAGTTTTTAAGTCATAAATTTAAAATTACAGTGCATAAGTCAAGACTGACTCCTTTTTATGTGTAGTTGGCTTTTTTTCTTTGAGTTTAGGCAAATCATGTCTTATTTGTAATGGCAATATATTGTTTGTGTTATTCTGCAAAGCATATTAAATACCTAAATAAAATAATTGGAAACCGGATTCAAAGCTCACTTCTAATCACGAAGGAAGCCAATAGTGCACACAAATGAAATGCTGTAAATGATTGTTAATGTAATGCCATGGGTTCCTGTTTTTGCCAGGACTAGACTTCTTATGATAAACTGTGTTCCTGTTTAATATAGAACTTACTTGTATGTAAAGGTCTTTTGGTGACTATAAAGAAAGCTCCTTTTTCACCTCAAGGTAATTTTTTCTCTCATCTGAAAGTGATACTAGGATATTATGAATGTTAAGGTTTTTGAAAAATACCTGCAATATTTAAATGATTTTATTCGACATAATTTATCTTTTTTGTTATTGAAGAAATAGTTGTGCTGTCCCTGATTGTGGAGAAAAACAGAGTAATGCACTTATTTCCTAGTCACTTATAAATAGGGTCATAGTTCCTATTTTGATCCTGAGTTTTCTTGGAATTTAGCTGCCTATTTTCAAATGTGCCTTCACATCTGCAAGTGTTAGAAACAGCTTTTTTCTCTCTTTACGTAAATCTTAAGCTTCTTAAGAAATTGAATTCTGCTACAATGTCATCTGGTCTAATTTACACTTCACGATTCATTAAACTATAGTTTATTGGCTAAGGAATGGTTGTGGATTGCTTGTTCTTATTAATTGTGATATACTAGTTTGTAGAGAATTAGAAACAGCTATTCCATAGCAAACTGTACTTTAAATAGAATTATTTATTTATTTATTATCAAATTTATAGACCACAACATTTAAACCAGAAGAGTACATGCAGGTTTATGATGATCCAACAACCATAGTTATTCTGCATATTTGTGAAATCGGCATAAAAATATGAATATGCTAAATGGAATCTGTGCATCAGTTGGCCTTTAACTCGCCCATTTGTAATCCACAAAACAGGTATTCGTACTAAATGTAAAAAAAAGTTTGTGTAAGAGACTGGAAAAACTTTTGATGGGAAAAACTATAAAAGGTAGTAAGGTGAAAATGGTGACATTTTCATAATGTATTTGAACTCTATAGTTAAAAAACAGTTATCGTGGG